GTAAAGATGTGGAGAGTTTCTAATGTAATATTCTAATGTCCAGTTTCTAGTTCTATATCAGTTATAGTGAATTATTTCTGATCTCTGGATGATTGCAATGGCATAAGGTTCTTGAACTCAACATATCTTGATCTGGTTTGGATGAAAAAGAAGAAAAGGTTTTCTTGGTCAAATGATGCTCATGGTAAGTTAAGAATCATTCTAAGAGGCTCAGCCTACAGATATCTAATGCTTCCAACAAGTAAGTTCGAGTAACAATGTTAAAGAACACTGGAAATACAGGGTTTTCTGGTCAGAAGTACCACACACACACACACACACACACACACACACACACACACACACACCTTGAAGAAAAGGACAAACATTTAACCAGACCCAAATTTAAAAAGAAAAAAAAAAAAAGGAGAGGGAGTAAGAGAAGACAAATGATCAGTTAGGAATGAAAGAAAGGACAGAACACTACTACTAAACCTACAGAAATTAAAAGGATTACAAGAGAACTTAAACTAGTTTAGAACTTGTTAAATATATGAACTAGTTTATTACAACAAATTAGAAATATTAAACGTACAAATTCCTAGAAAGTCAGTAACTACCAAAACTAATTTCAGGATGAAACAGAAAATCTGAATAAATGTGTAAGAGGAAATTTAATTGGGAATTTTAAATAGTCTCATGAAGTCCAAGTCCAGATGGTTTCACTGATAAATTCCATCAAATATTTAAAGAAGAAACTAATACCAACTCTTTACAAACCTATTCAGTAAACAAAGAAATACTTCCCAAATCATTATATAAGGCCTTATAGAGGTACTTTGCTATCAAAGCCAGAAAACACCATAAGAAAGTTAAATACACCAAAAATACTTAAAATATTAGGAAACTCACTCCGGCAACATATAAAAAGGTTTTTATGCCATGGCCAAGAGAGATTTTTCCCAAGAATGGAAGGTTGGTTTAACATTCAAAACAACAATATCCCATATTAGTACAATAAAGAACATAAACTACAAGATTATCTCACTAGACACAGAAAAAGCATTTGACAAAATCTAATACCCATTCATAATAAATACTCTTAGCAAACTAGGAATAGAAAACTTAACCTGATAAAGGGTATCTACAAAAATCTCACAGCTAATATCATACTTTATTCTGAAGGAAAGACTGTTTTCCCCATAAGGTAAGAAAGTCCCCTCTGCCACTTCCATCCAACATTGTACATGGGCTTTTAGTTTAAAAAAGCAAAAACACATTCACATGGTAAAGGAAGAAATAAAATCATTTTAATTCACAGATGATGTGATCCTAAATGTAGAAAATCTCAAGAAATCTACAATAAAACTAAGAGGAAAAAATACACTAGAGCAGCCAAATTGGAGGATGCAAGATCAATATACAAAGACTAATTTTACTTCTGAACTCTAGCAACTAACAATTCAACAATAAAATTAAGAAAACAATTCCATTCACAGTACATTTTTTTTAAAGATTGTATTTATTTAATTCATGAGAAGCAGAGAGAGAGAGGCAGAGACGCAGACAATGACAGAAGCAGGCTCCATGCAGGGAGAGCCTGACGTGGGACTCGATCCTGGGTCTCCAGGATCATGCCCTGGGCTGAAGGCGGCGCTAAACTGCTGAGCCACCCGGGCTGCCCACATTCACAGTACATTTTAAAGTAATAAAATACTGTATGTTAAGTGGAATTTAAATAAACTTGAGGAAAAAAAATAAATAAAAAATAAAAGTAAAAAAATACTCTGGAATAAATTTAACAATATAAGTTCAAGACTTGTATACTAGGAATTATAAAATAATGATTAAAATGGTTTTTAAAAATGAGTTATAGATCAAATTTATTACAGATATAAAAATACCAACAATAAATATAGCAATTTTGTTTATTCTTTAAAGAAATATAATTCAACATCAGAAAATGTATATGTATAATTCCTGTCAAAAAATTGAGCCACATGATTATATCAACTATGGCCAAAAAGGCATTTAATGAAATACTGAAGTTGCTGCTAAGAAACAATAAAATGAATCATCTGAATTTAATAAAGACTACTTTCCGAAAGTAGATAACCTAGGGATGCTTGAGTGTTCAGTTAGCTGAGTATCTACCTGACTCTTGGTTTCAGCTCAGGACATGATCTCAAGGTCATGAGATCAGGCCTTAAGTGGGGCTCTGCGCTCAGCGTGGAGTCTGTTGGGAGATTCTCCACCTCTGCTCCTGCCACCCTCCACCTTGCACATGTACACATGTTATCACAAATTATAAATCAATCAATCAATCAATCAATCAATCTTGAGGAAAAAAATGAAACCACAGAAAGTAAGACTGATGCCTATTCAACTAAATGAAACAGATAAGTAACTATAACTAGTATCATAACACACCCTTGAAAGAGAAAGCAATAAATCACTGTAAAAGAAGAAATATAAACATCACATCAGCCGCCATCTAGTGGCTCATAGCTCAAAAACTCTACTAAAAAGCTACTATATTTAATTAGAAACATTTATAAGGTGCCTAGATATAACGAAAATATCTAAATATCAAAAGTTTTAATCTACTCTCAGTAAACAGTACTTAAAATAAGGAACAGAAAAAAAATTTATTTAAATAGAATCAAAAAATATACAAAGAAAAAAATTAACCAGAAAGATTCTGTACCTAAATGAGGTGAACTATAAAATCTCACTGCAGGATAGAAAATACCAACAAACAGAAAAATGCCCCCATGTAACTATGTGGGAAGATGTACTACCTTAATAATGCCAGTGGTTCCAAAATGAACAAATAAATACACTGCAACACAGAGAAATCCCAAAATAATTTGTCTAGAATCGGAAGAAAATAAATCTTAAAGCATAAATGGAAAAGCAAATGTAAGAATTAAGTAAGAAAAAAAAAGAATTAACTAAGAAATACATGACAATTTAAAACAGTAAGGGTAAACTGCCTTTGAGATGGCAAAGCATTTTTTAAAGTAAGTTCCCCAAGGGGCATCTGGGTGGCTCAGTCAGAAGAGCATGCAACTCCTCATCTCAGTTATGAGTTCAAGCCCCATGTTGGGTGCAGAGATCACTTAAGTATATAAACTTAAAAATTAAGGGCAAACCTCTCAGGACCTCTCTCACTGCTGAGGGCTTTCTTGTTATCTCTGCTTAATAAGCTTCTATCACTTTGCTCACTAAAAAAAAAAATAAATAATAAAAATAAAAATAAAAATAAAAATAAAAATACATGAATTCAATTACATTAAAAAATAAAATAAGGGATCCCTGGGTGGCTCAGCGGTTTGGTGCCTGCCTTTGGCCCAGGGCATGATCCTGGAGTCCCAGGATTGAGGCCCACATCGGGCTCCTGCATGGAGCCTGCTTCTACTCTGTCTGTGTCTCTGCCTCTCTCTGTGCATATGTGTGTCTCTCATGAGTAAATAAATAAATTCAAGAAAAAAAGAAAGAAAGAAAGAAAGAAAGAAAGAAAGAAGAAAGAAAGAAAGAAAGAAGAAAAGAAAGAAAGAAAGAAAGAAAGAAAGAAAGAAAGAAAGAAAAAAGATTTATCTTTACTAAGAAGGAAAAATTTTGAAGATGTTCATATCTGTAGGTATTTGTACAGAGTAAATATTGATAATAACTTCTAATCATAAATGATGGCCAATGGTTAGTGAGTTTGTTTATGAAATAGAAAATAACAATAAAACTCAACATCTATTTTATTTAAATGCATGATAAAGTATTAATAATGAAATTAACTAAACAATTATTAAGTACCATATTATAAAAGTTTTACAGAAAACATTTTCTTTTCACAATCCTCATGAAGTTCCAATGGGCTATCTCTACTTTAAGAATAAGGAATATGGGGGGATAAGTTAATCAATGTACTTAGTGATACAAAAGGGATTTGATAAGGAAGTTGTAGGCTCAAATGGGAAAGAATATCGTATATCATGAAAAAAAATTCTTTATGCTAATAGAGAATTCTACTTAAAGATACATGTTAGACCATATACTATTTGATTCTAACTATGAAATCATGTCAGGATATAAGGGAATAAATAAGTTGAAATAAGGAAAGAGTATAATAACAAATAAGATTTAATTTGTGCTTCTTTTTTTTAAGGGCAATTCTGTTTTCATTATACAGTACTAAACTTATCTTTAAAAAATGAGATTATCAATTAAAAAAGCAATCAAAGAGATTTCCTAATGCAGAAGTTAAACTAAAGGTCTTTGCTATTCTAGTAAATATTTAGGGAGAGTGGACAGATACAGAAGACAAAGGACTAGGTCAACCATATAATTTATCTTCCAACCCATAACACTTTTCAGAATGAAAGAAGACACTAATAGTAATTATGACAGTGTAAGTATAAACCATGACTGGCAAAGGCAGACATTTGGTCAATCTAGTTAAGAAAAATATTAGCAAAAAATTCTTTGCTATGATAATAACAGCTAACATGTTTTTGAATACTTCCTGTGTTACTCTGTATGCCATGTTGCAAAATTTTATCTGTCTTATTCTCTGCCTATACATGGGTGCTCTGTGCAAAGGAATATATATATATATATATATATACACACACACATACATATAGTCCTTCATTTGTTGAAGATTGAATAGATTTCCTTTAATTAAAAAAATGGAGTCCCATGTCTATATAGCTTAATCACTTAAACATCATTACGACCTAAGTTTATGAATAAGCATAAGTTCATGCGTGCAAAGACTTAGAGGAACAACAAAAATAATCAACAAACCATCTCTATGTATTAAACATGGGTGACAGAACACTGAACTTAAGGCACAGCAATAAATGAGTGACAATGGCACACTGCACACTTCTAACTTAGAGTCTAATAACAAAAGTAAAATTAAAGCCTACAAGGAAAGTTATTCATTTTAAAATACGGTGTTTTATCCTACCCACAATAGTCCTCTAACATCAAAAGAAGACAAAGATGTGTTAATTTCTTACCTGCACAGCCAAAAGCCAAATGGTATCTAGAAGAAGGGCTGAATTTAACACAGCATACATTAGCCTTCGCCTCAATGCTTGCCACTGAGTTGTCTAGGTTGGTAGACCATAGCTTCACTAAGACAATAAAAATGAAAATAATTAAAAAATACATTAGTAAATGCTTCTGTAAACTAGAAAGTCTGGTTATTGCTATAGTTGCCTTTTATACTAATCCAAAGCATTTTAGTTTACTAGGACCAAAAATATTTAAATTGAATGAGTAAAAAGACAATGTATTGAAACCAAGAGAACAGAGTTTCAAAGTCAGAAAATACCACAGACAAAAACTGTGCCGAGAGGTAACATGATCCCATAACTAAAGCATAAAAAAGGGGTTAAAAAAAAAAAAAGCAATATGGAGACACATGTATTTGTTTCAGTATTTTTTAAATGGTACCGCGGGGTGGGGAGACATCTGGCTGGCTCACTTGGTAGAGCATGTGACTCTTGATCTCAGGGTGATGAGTTCAAGCCCCATGTTGGGTATGGAGTCTACTTTTAAAAAAATGGTGTGTATTTTTCAAGTGTCATGGGCTAGAAGATGACTCATATAGTCATTCCACTCCAACACATATGCACACACACATACACACACACTTACACATACATTATCTATATCAGAAAGAAATGCCATTTTTTAAAGTAACTGGAAGCAGTTCTTGTTTTATCTTTCAATTAAGAATTCCATGATTTTAAAATTTTATGTAGTAACTCAGGTATATGATTTTAAGTATGTATAAAATAATGTTACAGCATTATTTAGCTAAACGTTAAATGTTTAATATTTGATTTTTAGGGGGCATCTGGGTGGCCTGATGGTTGAGCATCTCCCTTAGGCTCAGATTGTGATACCGGGGTCCTGGGATAGAGTCCCATATCAGACTCTCTGCAGGGGAGCCTGCTTCTCCCTCTGCCTATGTCTCTGCCTTTCTCTCTATGTCTCTCATAAATAAATAAAATCCTTTTAAAAATTTGATAGTCTATTCCAACAGTATACACTGAGAGTTGTAAAGATTAGGAACAAAAAACTGATCAGAGTAGGTCAGATGTGAGAGCAGAAACAGAAAGGTCAGCTGCTTTTTTGTAAGGTACCACCAAAGCAATCATTGTATCAGACATCAAAAAGGTCTTCGAAGACAATAGAATACACATAAAAAACAGACTTTTAAGATACTGGTTACAATCCTGGTTACATAGTACAATTAATAATGAACATTAACAGTAAAAATAACAAAAATCTTCCTATGCCTCTTTTCAGTGGGCCCCAATATCCTGTGCCATCCTGGAGAATACCCGCTTGGGCTTCAAGTACTGGCATTTGTTTAAAAGCTGTTTGGGTGGGGACACCTGAGTGGCTCAGTGGTTGGGCGACTGCCTTTGACTCAGGTTGTGATCCCAGGTTCCTGGCATCCAGTCCCACATCAGGCATCCTGCAGAGAGCCTGTTTCTCCCTCTGCCTTTCTCTCTGTGTGTGTCTGTCTCATGAATAAATAAAGTCTTAAAAAAAAATAAACGAAAGCACTTTGGGTGATTCCAATGTGCATTTGGGTTGAAAACCAGTATAAAGGGTGATCCCAGGGAGGCTCAGCGGTTTGGCGCCTGCCTTTGGCCCAAGGTGTGATCCTGGAGTCCCTGGACTGAGTCCCGCGATGGGCTCCAGGGATGGAGCCTGCTTCTCCCTCCTCCTGTGTCTCTGCCTCTCTCTCTCTCTCTCTCTCTATGTCTATCATAAAATAAATAAATAAATCTTAGAAAGAAAGAAAGAAGAAAGAAAGAAAGAAAGAAAGAAAGAAGGAAGGAAGGAAGGAAGGAAGGAAGGAAGGAAGGAAGGAAGGAAGGAAGGAGAAGGAAGGAAGGAAGGAAGGAAGGAAGGAAGGAAGGAAGGAAGGAAGAAAGAAAGAAAGAAAGAAAGAAAGAAAGAAAGAAAGAAAGAAAGAAAGAAAGAAAACCAGTATAAAGATAGAGGCATAGTAAATTTTAGAATCTTTTTAGTAATAATAGTATGTTGCTCTGTAAATAGGAATAAAAAAAAGTAAAAATGGTTCCAACTATCACTTCTATAAGATGGTATTTCCTGGAAATAGAGATTTTTCTCTGTGTAAATGGGATAATTTATCTTTTACAAGTGTAATTCCATAGAGAGTGTCTTTAAATATGTGGACACTGAATAAAAGTTAACCATTAAAAAAGTTATTTACAACCTAATCAACCTATTAGACTCCTAAGAGAAAAATAAGACAATATTAAAATAAAAGAATAAGAGTATTAAATAGCAATATTTGGTTTGTTTCACATTATTTTCTAATAGGACTCATGTGCTATTTTAATCAATATACAACTGTCCAGGCAATTAAGGAATACAGCTCTGAGATGAAATGGCTAGTGGTAATTAAAAGTCTGCATGTCAAATACAGCATTTATAGATTAGAATATGAGTGATAAAACTGTTATCTCAAAACATAGCAAGCCAAAGTTAATTCACAGCAAATATTTATGGAGCACCTACTATTTCCATAACCCCACTACTAATCGCTAAGAACCTTTATAAACAAGGTTTATACACCAGTGTTAAGACAATTAAATATGAGTAAGCATAGGAATGAACTAGAACAAAATGACAGTTAAATTACAAGTCTTTTTTTAATTTCATGGTAATTTTCTCAATGGAGTAATCATTAACATTTTAAAAATAAGTCATTATGATAAGCATAATTATAATTTTCAATTTAAAAGATACAAGATTAGAATTCGATATAACTAGCTGAGTTTTAATGATAACTAAGGGTTAAAAAATTATACTAAATATATACAGTATAAAAAAGGAAAATACACAAAGAATACCCTATTAAGTTATTGTTTATTAAGCAAAATAAGTGTTGTAAATTAAACTGCGCTCCCCAAAAAGTATGTTGTAGTCCTAACCTCAGGTACATTTGAGAACCACCTATATTTGTAAATATGGTCTTTGCAGATGTAGTCAAGTTAAGATGAAGTCATATTGGATTAGGATAGACCCTAAATCCAATGAATACTGTCTTTATAAGAAGAGGGAGGCTTGTATAAAGAGGTACAAAGTAAAAGAAAGCCATGTATTGAAAAAGGCAAAAATTAGATGCAACTACAAGTCAAGAAATGCCCAGGATTGCTACTAATCACCAGAAGCTAGGAAGGCAGCAAGAAAGGATTCTTCCGTAGAGCCCTCAAAGGGAGCATGTGGCCTTGCCAACATGTTGATGCTAGGCTTCTAGCCTCCAACAAAATGGTGAGAAAATAAATTTCTATTGTGGAAGCCAACCAGTTTATGATAACACTGTTATGGGAGCCCTAGGAAACTACTAGAACAGGTATGATGAAATAACATTAAAATCAACCTAATATTCCTAAAATGGCATCATGGATTAAAAGGTAAAATAGTAAAGTGTGTAAGAAATCAACAAAAAGTTTGGAAGAAACTGTCTAAAACAAATATAAATGAGATCATTCTCAAAATAAGGAGATGGTATGTAAAACAATAATAATACACCTGTTACTTTCTTCTTCAAAGAATGACAATAAAAATTTCAGTAACATCAAAAAACTTGTAATTTCAACATTTACTGTGAAAACTATCCTTTGTAAGAAAAAGTAAAAGTGAATTTAAACTAAAATACTATCCTCAAGGTAAAGAGTTAATTAAGGCACTTAAACACACTGCACTTGTTTATGTATAATCTCCTTTGAATTTCAGTTAAAAAAAAAAACTAGTAATGCTAGGAAAACCATGTTGCAATGTAAGAAGCTAAAAAAAAAAAAAAAACTTGTTCTGAATACCATCTAGCTGGCTATAGAAAATGAACTTCTTACTTAAAACTATATATTTTATTACAACTTTGATTAAAGTTAATAAGCAAAGGTTTTTTTTCTTTTTAAAATATCATCTGAATCTTAACTCCCATTTAAAAATACTAAATTTGGGCATCTCCAGGGTGGCTGACTTAGTTAATTATCTGTGTTCACCTCAGGTCATGATCCCGGGGTCCTGGTATCCAGTCCCATGTCGGGATCCCTGCACAGTGGGAAAACTGCTTTTCTCTCTCCCTTTGCCTTCCACTCTGCTCACTCTCTCTCTCTGTCTCTCTCAAATAAATAAAATCTTTTTAAAAATCCAACTACCCTACAACTACCCAACACTAATAGATGACAGCTTATCATCTATTAATTTGTAAAATCTGAGTTAAAAAGTCTCTAAGTTTTTTGTTCAAAATTATTTTTTCAAAAAATAGAACACATTGACTATCTTTAATAACATCAGCATTAATTACAATATGCAGCATTTAGGGGATCTCTAGGTGGCTCAGCGGGTTTAGCGCCTGCCTTCTGCCTAGGGCCTGATCCTGGAATCCCGGGATCAAGTCCCACATTGGGCTCCCTGCCTAGGGCCTGCTTCTCCCTCTGCCTGTGTCTCTGCCTCTCTCTCTCTTTCTCTCTCTCTCTCTGCCTCTCATGAATGAATAAATAAAATATTTTTAAAAAACAATACGCAGCATTTATAGGTTTCGGGACTTCTCAGACAGGGCCCACTGCATGTCTATCTGCACCGAAACTTCCTAAAAAGGAATTTATTATAAAAGGGAAAATGAAATAGGCACAGGCGTCTGACACCATAAAAAAGCCTGTCTTTAGTGCAAGTGTTAAGTACATTTGATATCCAGTGCTCCTGGACCCACTTCTGATGGCCTAGATGCCAAAGAATGAGCAAAAAGGAATAGTGCTGTTTCACCAAAAACTATAGAAAAATCTGAGGGACATACATACTAGTTTATAAATCCATTTTAAAAAATGAAAGATTCGAGACGCTTGGCTGGCTCAGCGGTTGAGCATCTGCCTTTGGCCCAGGGCGTGATCCTGGAGTCCTACATGGAGCCTGCCTTTCCCTCTTCCTATGTCTCTTTCTCTCTGTGTCTCTCATGAATAAATAAAATGTTAAAAAAAATAAATAAAAAATGAAAGATTAGGCAAAAAGATGTTCACTGTGACAACACTGATTTATCAAACACAAGTTTTTCTTTTAAAATTAATCAAATAGAAAACAGACC